AAAATATCGCTACACTCCTTTCACCATTCAGATTCTTGTTTCAGTCTAGAGGATCCTTTACATTCAGTAAATATCCGAAATGGAACCGCCGGCTTTACTTCTACGAAGGAAGTACGTTTCTCGCCCTTAAAAAATCCACTGCTTCGAACGGATTTGAACCTGTAAATTTGGGTACAACAACCCGGTACGCTAACCGTTATAGCATGGAAGTCACCAGTTACATATTAGACAAGAACAGTATTTCCACCTTGTGCACCGCCTATTACATCTATATTCTATCTACATATCTCACTCTGCCTAATCCCGTTCCACCCTCACACTACTAGTATACTTCGTTCAATTACTAAAAAAAATAAAAATATGAACTAAAACTAAACTTAGATTCTTAAGTTGTCTATTACAGATTTATAACATCTACAACAATCCGAATAAACAGTTAATTTCGGCGTGACTAACGGACATCATTTATAATGTTTCCTTTCTCTCGTGCAACTCCCATATACGTCATCAAAAGAGTCTGATTAATGTTTAGTTTGTTACAGCAATTAAAGACCCATTTCATGCAGTAACAGAACAAACGTGTTTTTATACTTTTTACTTATTACGTACAAATTACTAAAAATAACATTTGTTAAATCGGCGATTTGTAGATAGAAAAACTCGTATTGTGGAGCCTCGGTATAGGAAAATTGGATAAATCTTATTGTTACTTGTAGTAAATTTCTTCATCTATCACGTTGTGTAGTTACGATCCACGTTTGTGGATTCAAAAAATCGATCGACGACAAAATCTCCTGTCTGTTATTTGTCTATCCATCTGTGATCAACGTTAGCGTCTAAACTGTTCAGAAGATTTTCTCAAATATTTGTATTTCTCGATAAATCTGGAGGAATTCAAAACCCTATGAGTATGAAATGAGAATTTGATTTTCGGGAGTACTTGACATGAAACCTTCAATTTTCAAATTTTCTTCAAAAATAGCTCCATAAAATCATAATGAAAATGATAAACTTTTCTATGAGCCTGGAAGTGTTTATATGCGCAGCTAGAAGTATAGGCGTAATGTGCTTGGCGGGTCAACTCCATTAGCCTAACCAGTCGGGAACGGAAGAGTTTGCCTCGGCTAGGGCAGCGCCCCACCGGTGGGAGATAACTGGTTGGGGAAAACCCCGCTAGCCGAAGTGTAGATTGACTTCGGTTCTCGCTATCTAGCTGGGAAAGATAACTGTCTCACTCCACGATGAAAATGTTCACTACACTTACGGGAATAACGACCTTTGCCTTGGGAAACACAATCAATCTAGTATCTATGAACGTGAGTTCGAATATTGTCGAGGAGGAAAGAATTTTGCTGATTGGAAACAATTTTTCTGGTTCATATAGAATAATAATATTACGTAACCGCGGCAAATAACGCGAGAAAATATGTGTTTTTGTTATTTCTAGTTATTACATGAAAACTCCTATTGTAAACTTTCCTTGAGAAATATTTATGTGATGAATGTGAAAACATGACACAGATATAAACAGTTCACAATAGACAATTGAATGTAAAATAAACAATCACGCATGTAAATACATACATGTTCTTGATTCATAACTTTTCCAATTAATTTCATCTCTTTTGTTTACGTAAGACATTCACACCTTCTTAGAATTAAGACCAATTTTCAACGTTCCTTTATAAATATGGATGTAATAAAACTTCAAAAGACAAGCGATCATTTGCAAATAAAAACAGCTCACATTACGCGACTGAACGTAAAATAAACCGTGACTCATCAGGGGTAATTTTCATGTTCAATAGTTTTTTCAATATCATTTGTAGTAATATTATTCTTTATGTAATTGTTCTAGTGCAAATTTTACTTATAGTGACATGTCTCAGGTTAATACGAAAACGGGTACAGTTTATTTTCTTAATTCAATTGTTTCATATTTTGAATTTAGGTCAAAGTAGCATACTTAGACTGTGTATAATTCAAAGCATATTTTTACTTTTTGTTGGTAAAAATTGCAGATTTGGGAGTAATATTTTCAATTGCAACTTCAATTATTTCAATTCAATTTCTTCTATTTCAGTTACTTTTTTTCTTAGTCACACAAAATATTCAATCCAAATTTTGGAGCAATCACGCCCGATGGCTATTTTTCTGTCGCATGTGAGTGTGAACAATTTCGTTTTTATATAACAGATTGCGGGGGTCCGTACGTTCATAAGGAATGGGAAGTATCTATTTCTGAAATGTAAATTTCCCTCATGTTTAAGTACGTGATTGCCAGCAAAACGAATCCTAGCAAGGTGATTCTATTTTGTGTATCACCACCTACTAAAGTATATAGATACTACTAAATTTTTAATAAATTAAAATTGTCTATCTTACAAATTGTTTTCTTTTTTAATCTTTGAGCCCCGACATATCCTAGATTAGGCCTGCACAGCATTTTGCACTTTCAATGAACTCGGGAGCAGCAAGCGAGCATTCGCATGTAAATTCAGCAAGCTAGGATGGGTTGGAATGAGAGCCATTCTAAGAATGCTTCACCAATGAGAATGCGCAATTCGAGCCTTAGCGCGTAAATGAAAGTAGCAATCAGCGAGTGACTAAATGAATGACTGTTACATTTAGTTCAAGTAGTATTGCCTTTTGCATTATATTGGAAATGTATATGATAATGTGAAATATCAAACTAAAACGAATTAGATATACATGTTATTTGATTTGGACACCAATTATTAAAATTGTTTGTTGGTCTGGTTATGCAATTAACTTTGCTATAGTGTCATCACAATTTTATTTTAGTGACAAACACAAAATAGTTATATTGCTTCGTTTATGTTTGATGACAGTAATAAACTATGATTAATTGACTTGAAATTGTTTTTCATTACTATGCTTAATTGAATAAGACGATCTTATTAAGCTAAAAATCTTATTATTAAAAACTTATTGTTACTTTCTGCTCTCTATTGCTTTCATTATAGATTTATAATACCAAATCAACGAACACTATTTATTTATAATCATTTTTGACATCGTATAAAAACATTTTGCCCTTAGCGTTTTATTTATCAAGACAATAATCTCATGATTGACCTAACAGATCGTCAGAGAGATTTGCTCGTTGGTATAATTCAGATTCATAATTGGGTAAAATTTGTGACAATATATGTGCTTCCAATCATTGGATGCCATCTGGGAATTGTCTATATTTCATTTTTATGTCAATTATGATGTAACAGATTGCTCTCATAATTTCCTTAATTTTGCTATCATTTCAATAATGTTACATTACCGGGTAAAAATAGTTATTAAAATGGTCATTTGTGGTCGTAAGAATGAAATATTATATTTTTTAAAGGCCACCAATTTTAACATAGTGTTTAAGAGTAACAACGGGCATAAAAAATGAAAATATGTTGTTACATAGCAGTGCTTAGACGAACATAAACGGTGAATTATTCTCATTGTAGCTAGAAATATGGGACATTACCATTTAAATACGACTAAGTGGGCAAATAATTTCACAGCACGGAGCATTGCCTTAGACGCCCAGGCCTTGAATCTACGCGTCGCGACCCTTGTATGTAAATGCCAGGCGGCTCCCCTCCCCGCCTAGAGCCGACCCCCACAGCTGGCACTGTTGCCACTCTCGTGGGCAGACGTCCGGCTCTTGACTGCAGAATGCCCGAGATAGCAGTCGTTGTGCAAGACTGGCCTAGAAGTTTGTATCATTCATTCTGAGACATCTGTATAAATATACTGAATCATTTAAAAGAACAGAAACAAACCCGTTTGAAATCTATATGTACGTATGGTCAAAAAGAACGTCTTTTCGGGAACTCGGATAATTAATTGTTTGAGCGTATTAACTTGGCGCGATTTGCAGAGAAGGTTGTGCTTTCTGTAGCTAAACATTGAGGTACAATAGTGAGATGTTTTCCGTGTTTTAATATGATATCGTGATGGAAATTGAATATGCGTCTTTGAATGTAATATTACATAAATATTTAGAGGTAGTTCTTGGAGAATAACTTGTCATTATATCGTTATATGACGTTGTTATGTGACCAAGATGTTGAAAATAACCTTATGTCACTTTTCAACAACTTGATCATATAACGACTACTGTTATTTTTAAACTTATGAGGTAACTGTAGGGAGCACACGTAACGACAACATAAACTCACGCAAACACACACAAACATCCATGCCCGAAGCAGGATTTGATCCCGCCCCTCGAGCCGAGGCAGCCACGGCCCTTCAGCCTTAACTATCTCTGCTAATCCAGGCCGGCTAACTTGTCTTTGCAATATAATGCTCTTTTCTTCTTGAAGTAGTCGTAAATATTAACTTAAAAGAAGTACCCATAATAGACAATAATGTGTTCCAATTAAATGCAATATTTGAATGATACTTAACTATACAATCAACATCAACAAGACTGTATATTTTATTGTTGTTTTGTTTCTTTTATACGCTGTTCATTACTTCATTTTCATTTCCGTAATGCTGTAGGAGTTACCTTGCTGTCTGTCTGCTCATGGGGCTTGTGTTGGTCTCAATCTACCAGAGTTTGCTGTCAGATGCTCTCATTACGCCTCTGCGATGGCCACCTATCAGAACCCTGGAAGAGGTAGCTAAAGATTTTTCAGACTTCCAATGGTTTGGCGTTTCTGTGTACTCACTAATTTTTTCCAAAGTAGAAAATAGAATGAATTGGCATAATAAAACAATTTACGAACCTTTACGTTTCTTTGATAAAAAAGATAGACGCCGAACAGCCTCCAATGCGTAAGTAACAAGTTGGCAAATACTCAAAACTCAATGACGATTGAAACTGAAGTTAAAGAATGAATGTTTTATTTAATTTCAATAATATTTATTCTTAATAAGAAATGGTTCTGACTGCGTATTTCATTTCATTTGTTCTACAGTAAATCTGATCTGCATTAGCGTGCATGTCCGTTTAATTCTATGACCACTTGCCTTCGCAGATGGAGAAATCAGACTTGGAAATAATGACGCCGCACTCTGTGATTAAGGCTATGCATTGCAGTCTCGAGGAGTCACCCTATGCTGTCCTTTGGCAAAGGCTGCGAGTGTATACACCTCAAGAATGCATCGACGCGGGTGGTCGTGCAGCTCTCCTGCTGCCTGAGATAACAGGGGCATGTGTAATGGTATTTAACGTTCCTATTATTGTTACGTTGCTTTACAATACGTACGAGGGTAAGTCAGATAGAAATACTTCATGGGTTTTCTTTTTACTTTCTCGCACTTACGAATGTAAGAAGAGAAAATATTTTAATCATTCGCTGAAAAACACAAAATTTTCGACAAAAACTCTTATTGCGGGGCCCTGGAAACGAAAACATCGATAAACCCTGTTTCTATCTACAATAAATAACTTTCTCTAACACGTGGTGGAGCCAGAATCTGTTTTGGTGTTTCTTGATACCGAAGATTGACGGCTTAACGTCTGTCTGTGTCTTGTCTGTGTCTTGCCGGTGCCTTGCCTCTCTGTCAGTTTGTTTGTGGTCAAAGCTAGCGCTCAAACAGTTCAGCCGATTTTCTTCAAAACTGATATTCCCTGGCTCTGGGAGTTTGGAATGAAAAGTTTGGTTTTGAGGGTACTTTACATGAAGCCTCAAAATTTCTCAAAAATTACACAAAGTTTTTTTTAAATTTTGTCCACGAGTAGCGTAAATGACGTTGAAGAGAAAGGTGCCGGTCTTATATTAGTTAAAATTCTTGATTCTTCGGAAATTACAAAAGTGCAATTTTTCTTAAAACCACAATATTAAACTGATTTTCTCCTTAACGAAAGCAGAGATTTTTTCCTTAAAGACAGGTCTTGGTCATGTATTATTTTTCGAAAATATAAGTAGTTTTCGTGTAATTTTGTGCAAATATAGGCAATTTTCAATTTTTGAAAACAATTTTTCATCAAAACCGCTCTCAATTTTCACTTAAAATTTTGTCTTCGTATGTATCAAGGGACGGTAAAATATATAGTGCCAGTACCATTTTCGTCGAACGCAGCACCTTATGCCATGTGCAATTGTTTCCTCATATTACAAAAAAAATGTAGTTTTAGTGTAATTTGTGCTTTATATTAATACAATATTTTTTAAAAATTCTCAAAAACCGCTCCGCATTTGTTCTTTGCATTTTTTTTACGAATAGAAGCGATACAAATAGACGCTTAAAAGAATAACGCGTATCACATTTTCTTTGAAATTTTTGAATTTTTGAAAATTCAAATTTAGAAATAATCTAAGAAAATGTGTGTTGTTTTAGCACCACTTATTTAACTATTTAACGATGTGCAAATTTTGGACTAGTGGTTTCTCAATTGTTCTCCTACAGCAGATTGTAATAACAGCTTCCTTACTCAAAATTTGACATCACTGCATTCAGTTTAGAAAAGGCCGACATTGACATACGTACATGACCACGTACTGTGATAAAATTCTTGCATGCAGAAGGCGAAATGGTGATTCACATTTGTAACAGTAAAGTTGGCACTGTTAAGTGATGGTTTCTCGTTTTATATAAGCTGAAGCTTTAACGGTTGATAAAAAGCCGACCTTTGACTGCAGTGTCTTGTACAGGAACTTGAGATCATTTGGTATGACAATTATCATTTTCGTCAAGGGAGACGAAATGTGTCGCAAGCTTTCCATTGGTAAAGGCACTGTAATCTTCATTATTAATACTCCAAAATTCAAACTCCAAAATTTATCACTCCAAAGTCAGTGCGCACTGGGTACCGAAAATGTCGTAGCATAATAAAGAGACAGTATACTACGCAAATTGCATTGAATTTACCTGAAAATAAGAGACACAAATATAAGACATTTTTTTTCTGACTAACCCTTATGACGTAAATTACTACTATCAGTTTTTCCTCACTAACCAGCTAATTTTGTGGTTTGTGCCCGACCTGAAGAACGCGGCGCCGGAGCTGTTCAACACGCAAGGCATCTTCCTGTGGAGGGTGTCCCTCACCTACCCCACGCGCGCGGGCTGGCCTCTGCTTCCCGCGTTCGAGCGCGTCATAATCAACTTATGCGCTGCAGGCCTGCCATACTACACCGGCTTATTCTGTGACCGGAGAGCATTTCGGCGGGCCTTCAGCCGGCCTTTGCAGGACGACGAGGGCGTCAAACCGATGAGTTTGGGAGACGTCAGAATGGCGTTCGAAATTTTGCTTATTGGACTGACGACGAGTTTAATCGTCTTCATCGGAGAAGTCGTCTCCGCTCGTAGTCGACGCCGGAGGAATCATGTCTCTTCTGTTACGTCTGATCGTTTACGCCTTTCATTTTCACCTGAGCTGTCTGGTCTTCGTTGATATTATTACTCGAAATCTTAGTTTTTCGACTCAATTGTTCTTTTACCTGTTCTTTAGATTCATTCTCGTGTTATTTTCATTATTTTACCGGCCCTCATTGCCTCTAATATTTACCCAAGTCATCTCTAACAAGGAAATGACTTGACCACACTCTGGAGTGAGCCTGTTTACTCTTTGTGAAGAGTCCGCCAGGATGATTGAGATTTTCTTCTTAAATTAGCACGTTCAAGTAATTTTTATCATAAGACATTTCGCCCTCTCGTCTTCCAGTAGTTCTCCAATTTTTTTCTTCTGCTCTATCAAGTCTTTTACAACAATTTTCTTTTAGTTCCCCTTTTAAATTACTACATTTGGCTTGCACCAAGAGAGAGATTTTAACTTATTTTCACATACTACTGTTATATTTTGTGCCTACTATGTATTTCTTTACCGATTACATGTACTTGAAACGGTAGTTGAAAAGGTTGTTTTGCGAAAGTCCTCTGAATCGACCCTGAACCCTGAAAGAACGTGCAAACGTGTAAATACTTGTCACCCGCAGATGTATATTTTTTTATTTCCACAGACAAGCATTACTGCTTTCCAGGGATTGTTTTCATATAAATAACAACTCCAAATACAAATATATAAAAATAAATAAAAACAGAAAAATACCTTTCAATCAACACTGGGACAAAAGATAACATTCATAAAACCAGTAATTCTTTAGATAAATAGAAATACGGAAGCCCAACAGGTTCCTCATTATTGTTTTTCAAGTAAGTTTGTTGATTATTCCTTGCGTTCTTTACTCCAGTCCTGAAATATTTAAGGGGGCAGCAATTTTTTTTAAATATTTGTCATAGGGAAATCTGTTTGTTGTACGGGATATTTTTGCTGATGAACCAAGGGTGTAGTGGTCAGTTGGTAATATTATGTAAAAATGTGAAAACGGAATGTGAACGTTTGAGCATTATTTGATGTATAGTTTCTGTTTTTAATTTTGAGTATAATTGATTGTTTATAATGAAGCAGGGGACATTTACAGTCATACGTAAGATCTTATTTTGGAAGGTTTGCATTTTCTTTATATTAGTCGCAGAAGTGTTGTACCATATTGGGCATGCGTACATTATTATGGGAAAAACTATTGTTCTGTAAAGGACTAGTGTGCATTCTGTTTTGAGAGCGATTTTTCTGTTAATTAATGGGTACTATTATTTTAGTCTTCTATTTGCTTGAATGATTTTGTCATTTATATGATTTGTCCATGTTAGTCT